CTCCGTCTTTCTTAGGGTTGATGAAGCGGCCATGATCGAAAAAATAGCTGCTGATATTTCAAAAATGCTGAATCATTTGGCGCCGTCACGTGATTTCGACCGTTTCATTGGGATGGAAGCTCATATGGAAATGATGGAATCGTTGTTACGCCTAGATTTGGATGAAGTGAGGATGATTGGGATTTGGGGTCCCCCTGGGATTGGTAAGAGCACCATCGCCAGATTTTTGTTTGACCAACTCTCAAACAGTTTCGAGTTGAGCGCAATCATGGTGAATATCAGAGAATGCTATCTAAGACCTTGTCTCGATGAGTACAGTGCAAAACTGCAACTACAGAGCCAAATGTTGTCTAAGATGATCAACCACAAAGATATCATGATCACTCATTTAGGAGTTGCACAAGAAAGGCTGAAAGACAAGAAAGTGCTTCTCGTTCTTGATGATGTGGATCGGTTAGCACAACTACATGCCTTGGCCCAAAATGTTCAGTGGTTTGGTCCTGGAAGTCGGATTATCATCACAACAGAAGATCTAGGAGTTTTAAACAAACATTATATCAACCATATATATAAGGTGGACTTTCCATCAACTGATGAGGCTCTTCAAATGTTCTGCATGTATGCTTTTGATCAAAAGTTCCCTAAAGATGGTTTTGTGGAGTTGGCTCAATTAGTTACATGCCATGCTGGGAAACTTCCTCTTGGACTAAAAGTTATGGGCTCTTACTTTCGGGGAATGTCCAAGCAGAATTGGACAAGGGCACTACCAAAGTTATGGAGTCGTCTTGACGGAGAAATTGAGAGCATTTTGAAGTTCAGTTATGATGCTTTATATGATGATGAGAAAGATTTATTCCTTCATATAGCCTGCTTTTTCAACTATGTAGAGATTAAGAAAGTGGAAGAACATCTTGCAAAAAACTTCTCGAGTCATGGGCTTGACGTTTTATCTAACAAATCTCTCATATCTATTAATCGTGGAAGGATAGAGATGCATAGTCTGCTAGTCCAACTGGGTGAAGAAATTGTCCGTAAACAATCTGTTCGTGAACCTGGGAAACGACAGTTTTTGGTTGATGATGAAGATATTTGTGAAGTTCTCACTAATCCTAAAGCCGTAAGTTTTGCCATTACTCTTTATTTGCATTACTGATTACAAATTAAGTTTCTTTTAATCATGTTTACTTAATTTTTGGGGACTTTTTTTTCAGGATACTAAAAGTGTTATAGGCTTCTCCCGTTACATTAACCCTGGGGATGATTTAAATATAAGTAAGAAAGCATTTGAAAGAATGTCTAATCTCAAATTCTTAAGATTGTTTGATGATATTGGTCATCCAAACGTAGCGTCTTTGTCGAAGCGTCTGAAGTATATATCTCCAAAACTTCAATTACTAGAGTGGGAGTCATCGCCGATGACATGTTTGCCGTTTACTAATAACATGGAGTTCCTTGTTGAACTAATCATGCCTAACAGCATGCTTGAGAAGTTGTGGGAAGGAACCAAAGTAAGTAATTTTATTTTATTTTCTCTCGTATCTAAAGTATGAATTCTTGTACAGTAGTTTAGCTTGAAATAATATGTTCAACTACCACTATATTTTTTATTTATTAAAAACTAATTAACATGGAAATATATTATTCAGCTGCTGAGTGTATCAAAGTGTTCATGTATTCTATCGTTATTTGTCCATACAGCTGCTTCGAAATCTCAAGTGGATGGATTTGAGCCATTCGATATACCTGAAAGAGCTTCCTAATCTCTCAACTGCCACTAATCTCCAAGAATTACATCTCAGTGAATGTTCAAGTCTGGTGGAGCTCCCTTCCTCGATGGGGAATGCAACTAATCTCCAAGTATTAGATCTCAATGGATGCTCAAGTCTGGTGAAGCTCTCTTTCTCTATTGGGAATGCAACTAATCTCCAAAAGTTAAATCTGTATGGATGCACAAGTCTGGAAGAGCTCCCTTCTTCTCTTGGGAATGCAACTAATCTTCAAGAGTTAGATCTCCATAGATGCTCAAGTCTAGTAGAGTTCCCTTCCTCTCTTGGGAATGTAACTAATCTCCAAATATTAGATCTCGGTGGATGCTCAAGTTTGACGAAGCTCCCTTCCTCGATTGGGAATGCAACTAATCTTCAGAACTTAAATCTCAGCAGATGCTCAAGTCTGGTGGAGCTGCCTTTTTCTCTTGGGAATGCAACTAATCTTCAGAACTTAATTCTCAGCAGATGCTCAAGGCTGGTGGAGCTGCCTTTTTCTCTTGGGAATGCAACTAATCTCCAAAAATTAGATCTTGATGAATGCTCAAGAATGAAGGAGCTTCCTTCCTCGATTGGGAATGCAATTAATCTTCAAAACTTAAATCTTAATGGATGCTTAAGTCTGGTGGAGCTCCCTTTATCTCTTGGGAATGCAACTAATCTCCAAAAATTAGATCTTGGTGGATGCTCAAGTTTGAAGGAGCTTCATTCCTCGATTGGGAATGCAACTAATCTCAAAGAATTAAATCTCAATGGATGCTCAAGTCTAGTGAAACTCCCCTCCTCTATTGGAAAACTTCATAGATTGATATGGCTTGATTTGGAGAAATGCTCAAATCTAGAGGTTCTTCCGACCAACATCAATTTGAAATCTCTTAGGAAACTCAACCTCACTAATTGCTCGTCGTTAAAAAGTTTTCCTCAGATTTCCACAAACATCAAATCTCTCAAGTTAAGTGGAACTGCAATAGAAGTAGTTCCTTTATCTATCAAGTCATGGTCTAGTCTTGAAGAATTGCATATGCCATATTGTGAAAACCTCAAGAAATCCTCGCATGTTCTTGACAGCATCACAGAGCTGCACTTGCCTAATACAGAAATACAAGCGCTTGGTCCATGGGTCGAGGGGTGCTCTCGCTTACGTCGACTAAAACTCAGCGAATGCAGAAACCTGGTATCACTCCCACAGCTTCCGAATTCCCTAGCAGTCATTGATGCAGAAAATTGTGTCTCTCTGGAGAAACTTGATTGCTCCTTTCACAATCCAGATATTTGTCTCAACTTCGCTAACTGCTTCAAACTAAATAAAGAAGCGAGAGATCTCATCATCCAGACATCAACTCGTACATATTCGGTCTTACCCAGTAGAGAAGTGCCTACCTG